CCAGAAATTATTCAAAACTTAAAATTTAATTGGATTTTTTTTGCGTAATAGTTAAAGCCATATATACAGTTGATACTGAAATGCTGAAGTTCATTGTCATGCAAACGGTGTTGCTGTGAATAATCTAGACGAGCGATAATATTCATCAAACCCGGGGACCTTCTCATTTTTACCCACCCCTTATTTGTTTTCCCGTAAAGCATTCATTTATCTCACTCCATGAAACACGAGACTCCGGTTAATTATTCCGTGCATACTTTGTTAGTAAATAATGAACCGTATTACTCGGTTTGCCGCACTCCAAGTTTCATTTCTGCAAAGTACCGCACGATGCAACAACGCGAATGATGGAACAAGTGTTGGTGGCTTTAGCTAACGGACAGACACTCAGAAACTAAAATGTGTAACATTTCCCCCGGCCATCCCCCTCCCGTCCCACCCACAAGGGGGTGGGCTGTAAAAGCCTCGTACACCCCATGGCAATTGGAAACTTTGTCCCATCCTCGGAGATTGTTTGCTGCACCCCAAGTGCACGATGTCGTTTCTGTTCTCCCGAGTCTTACTAATTAACGGTAATTCGTACGCGAAGGGTGAGAAAATTTGGATTCGAGGGGATTGTGTCAATTGCACAATGCCATTTTCAAAATTTTCCTTGACGATTTTATTTTTTTAACAATTTGGGGGATAAAAAAATAGAGTATAAATGGTACTTGATTCAAGGATCCATTAATTCGGTTTAAATTCCCTGAATTTGGCAGTGAATATTCATTCCCACTGGAGAATTCAGCCAACAGTTTTTTCACCACCAATTGTTTATTTTCCTGTCAACCGGAAAGGGCATTATTTCTAAAAGCAATTCCAGTCGAAAAGTTGAAATTAACATTCGTTGCAATTGAGCATTTATCTCGAATATTATTCATTTTAGAGGAGAACACTAAAGGACTTTTTTACAGGCAATTAAATTTCTAATGAAAAAGGTTTTTTCATATTTTCTCCTAAAATCAATAGGTTTGCTGATTAATTGATTATTCATTTGAAAAATTGTTAGTTTTTATTATACTTTACACAGAATTTATTTTGAATCTGGGAGTGAATATTCATTCCGACTGGAGAATTGATCCAAAATTTTTTTCACCACCAATTATTTATTCTTCTGTCAACTGGAAAGGGCATTATTTCTAAAAACAATTCCAGTCGAAAAGTTGAAATTAACATTCGTTGCAATTGAGCATTTAATTCAAATATTATTCATTTTAGAGGAGAACACTAAAGGACTTTTTTATAGGCAATTAAATTTCTAATGAAAAAGGTTTTTTCATATTTTCTCCTAAAATCAATAGGTTTGCTGATAAATTGATTATTCATTTAAAAAATGGTTAGTCTTTATTATACTTTACACAGAATTTATTTTGAATCTGGGAGTGAATATTCATTCCGACTGGAGAATTGATCCAAAATTTTTTTCACCACCAATTATTTATTCTCCTGTCAACCAGAAAGGGCATTATTTCTAAAACCAATTCCACCAACTGGTCCATATCCTGGGCTTTGATACCAATTGCTCCAAGAATCGTCAACAGAGCTATAAAAACTCTAGACCACACCGCCATAAATAACAAAATACAGCTTCCCTCGATTTTTAATTCCTCCCCTATTCCCCCGATTTATTTGATATACACGCGAACCAGTTTCATAAAGCATTAATTGAGTTTGCGATTTATCGCTGTGGGATAGAGTATCCAAGTGGAATAGCAACTGTATCCGAATTCGTATATCAGAATTTATACGTTCTGCGGATAAGAGGATCGGTATGCGGTAACCGATGGTGAGAGATACGATGGGATTTTTCTGAAATCTCGTTGTAGGTGGTATGGATCGAGAGAGTGGATATTGTTATCCAAATCGGTTGAACCGGCTGGTGATGGCTGTGGTATGAGTGGCGTCAGCCGGCAACGATATATTATATCGTTTAGGGTCATGTGCTCCAGGGTATCTCAGAGAGACCTGAACACACCACCAGGTCCACCAGAATACACATACGCTTGTATTTATTCCAGAATACCCTCGGACAAATATCGAAATGCAGTGTCTACAAACGTCGAGGGGTGAGGGGTAACTCAGCATAAACATTGGGAAGGAGTTTGTTTCATGTTTCATGTATATGTTGACCTACAAACCGAGGAACCGCAATTTATTCCCTCGAGTTGTTTTGAAGGGCTCATTTTCACGCGATACATTTCCCGGATAACTCCCACCAAACCTCTACTTCGAGTATTTCACATAATTATTCTATTTTCCTGAAAGCTAATTAGATACTGAAAAATTATTCATCATTAAAATTCATAGAAATATATTGAACTGATTTATGATGATGACAAAAAATTAATCGATAGGGAGGTGCAACAATTATTTATATTTTTAATAATTGATAGTTGATTGAATGAATATTGTGGGTGAAATACTCGAGTGATAGTAATTAATAGAAATGAATGACGTGTGTAGTAATGTCAGGACTGTATCCACCTGCAATCCACCGGAATTGCCATACTCCACGAAAATCAAATTCCAGTGTATCCAGGGTAGACTGGATAAAATTAATTGACGCAATTAAGCAAAATTTATTGATGACATACCGGCACTCAACTCTAAACACACAGGTATGAGTTTTGAAACACGTCAGGTGGATTATTCAGTCATAAATTGACGACCGGTGATTTATTGCCTAGAAAACGTGACTGGTCTTGACAAGCATTCCACATAATGCACTGCCGATATCAACTTTATTGACAGAATTTCACTCTATATATTTCTACGTACTGAATAAATAAAGCCCGAGGTAATTGGTTAAGTCGAGGTACCGAGTAAATTCTCCATGACTCTTTGTCATTATTTTTTATTCCGCGGATGAGGGTGAAATATTCCATGTAAATTGTGATTAAACGCCCGGGGAATTTACCTATCCTGTACATATTTCTTTTGATTAATTAAAATTCATTTCTTCAGTGGGGGGGAGGGGGGGCGAGGGGATGGGAAAAATCGATGCAGAGGGCTTTGTTACTCGAACGGAAAAATAATTCTAGCTTCCTGAAATTTTCGACAAGCTATGAATATTGATACTCACTGTCCAGTATTTTTTATCGTTGAATCCCTATTTTTAACGATAAAATTGTAATGTTGTATATAACCACTTAAATTGAAAGCGATTGGATTAAATTTGGCCTATAAAGAGGATATTGATTGAGTGGATGGTGGAACGAACACTCTCGTGGGTTTAAAACCGACATTGAAAATGTGCCAGTGGACTTTTCTGTCAAAAAGTCATTCCACCGTCTATTCCAACGGGAATACGACCGTTTGACGACGATAATCACCGTCATTCGGTCAATTATATTGAAGGGGTCGTTTCGAACTGAGATCGTTTCATTAAGCTATATCCTTTTTTGTTTCAACCAATCCAACGAAAATAGGATTTTACGACCTATTGGTTTTACCCGTGGCGTCAGCAGGACAAACTAATGGCAAATCCTCCTATCCCCAGATCAAATAGGAAGATACGGTTTTTCGGATTTAGTTTCAACTGATAGTGGCTGTAAATAACGACGATTAAGATAAAAGCGCGTGTTCTGAGTTGAACGAGGAGATACCACATCTCAATGCGTGAACATAAATCTTGCCAACATCTAAATTGCCAATTTTTTTTTTTCTCATCGCTTCTTTATTTTTCTTCGTTTTTTTTTTGTTGCATCAGCAGATGCATTAAGCTTTGAATCATTCTTGATTTTTTAATTTTTTGGGTTTCATTATTATCCAGTGCGTCACGAAGTTTCATCACCGGGGAGTAATTAAAAATAAAATGAATAATTTTCAATAGCTATGGTAGAAATATAAATAAAAACGGGTGAAAATAACCCCGCACTCCCCTTTATTATTACTCAGTATTTGAAAAGCAAACAGAAAGTTTCCTTTCGGAGAATGATTTATTTAATTCGTTGAATTTATCATCAAAGTTGAAATTAAAAAATTTGTAGAGCATAAAAGTAGATAAATCTCCAGACTCGGAGCCTGCAAAAGCAACTGACAGATTTCTCTGGGGATTACTTAGTAAATTTGAGAGTCACTGAGTGTGGAGAATCGATCGAAGTACTTTCACGGTGTATGTAACTGATGTACATTGCTTACACATTCGTACTACCGAGAGAAGAATGAAAATCACAAGTAGAGACTGTCGCGTTGTCGTACATCACGTACAGTGGGTGGGAAAGCGCTTGAGAAAAATGTGTCAAACATTGAGATTGAAAATAACGACAGAATATATTTCAGTACTACGCTTTAATCTTCAAACACTACATGACAGATATATTACAAAATTTCGTTTATCGAAAATTATTGTTAATTCTTGATTAAATATTTCACTGAGATAACGCTGTGTCAAAATACGTAATAGATACTTAGCATCGAGTCTTAATGATATCTTAATGATAATGTTAGAGACGAGGAATCGTGATTATGATTAAACACTTTGCACTAGGCAGGAATTACTCGCTGATTAATATTTGTTCAAACTTCAGTACCTTTTGCAAATGTATTAAATAGAATTTTAGACACAGGGCTCGACGTAATTACCAGGGAAAAGACCGGTTATACCATCCATCACACCCTCCCACCATCCATCGTCGTTCTTCTTCAGGACGTAGATGACACTGCTCTCCTGGAAACTCAGCTCGTCCTCTTTATCAGCGTAGTAGTCATAAATTGCAACGACTGCAACAGAAATAAAGATTAATAACCAATTTACGAAATAAACCCCGATATCACTGCGAAGTTAGACAAGTCGAAATTAACATTCGTTACAATTGAGCATTTATCTCGA